GGTTAAGGTGGCTGGACTCCCACATGGCTGACCACAGTTTGAGTCCTGGACCTGGCAGCTTGCTTTCTCACTTTCCTTCTCTCTCTCTCTCTAATCAACTTCAAAAAAATAGAAATAAATAAAAATAAAATAATCACAACGAGTAAAATTAAACAAAAAATAACTCTTAAAAAATAAAAAGACCCCTCAGGAGAGGTGCCCTGAGGAGCAGATGAGATGAGACAAGCATGGAGCCTGAAGCCTGGCTGGCCATTCAAGCTAGTATCTGTTCTTGTGAGCAGTTTCTTTTCTTGCCTAGTTGTCCAGAGGGCTCTCTCCACAGTCCCATCAGTTGCTCACTCTGGAGCCAGAAAAAAACAAAGATCACGTACAAACCAGGGGTCTCTCCACATCTCACCCACCAGTTCTTACCAAAGGGCCTTTCGGCTCACTCATCCTCTGAATTTGGAAAGCCGCTGTGACATTTTCTCCTGAAAATCACAAGGGGGAGAAGAAAGGTCAGGCATGGGAATAAGAAGTTAAACAGCAAGAGTCCCTTACGGAAACTGAGTCAGCAGCCCTAAGGGCTGAATGGTGGGGTTCCTCCCAAATTTACAGGTTGGGGCCAGCAAGTAGAGTGGAGGTTAAGGGGGCTGGATCCCATGTGGCTGACTGTGCAGTTCAAGTCCCAGACCTGGTGCTTGAAAGTCACACCAGGCACAAGTATGTGCACATGCCCAAAATCCTGAGAGAGAATGGAGGAGAAGGGATTGAGGCATGGTCACCCCCCTACTGGGGAATGATTTCTCACTCCCCTAACCCTCTATTTCTCTCTGGCAAGTGCACCTCCCTATAGTAAACAATTAAATAAATAAATACTGATAAGTTGGAACCCAACAGCCAGTGTGGTAGTATTAAGAGGTGGGACTCTAGTAAAGTGATTAAGTCATGAGGGCTCCACCTTCATGAATGGGATTGATGTCCTTATAAAAGTGTCTCAAGGAAGTTCCGTGGCCCTTTCCACAATAGAGGCCACAGTAAGAAGGCACCATCTTTGAAGCAGTGAGTAAACTCTCGCCAGACACTGGATCTGCTACCATCCTGACCAAGGACTTCCCAGCCTCCAGAACTGTGAACAGCACATTTCTGTTTATAAATTACCCAGTCTGAGGTATTTTGTTATAGCGGCACCAAGTGACTAAGACAGGCCCCTGACCCTTCCCATACCTTCATGGGCCTGGAACACTCTCAAGCTTCCTTCAAGCTAGACCAAGACCATCTATCTGGGGGACTGATGGGGACCACAGAACATTGCTCTCTCTCTGAAGAGGACTCAACACCTTCCTTGACTGCATTGCCTTAGGAGGTCATGTCACAGCTCTGTCTTCTTCATCTGTGTTTCCCCAGGGCCTGCTCACATGCCTTGTGTGCATATCCCTTCACATGGGCATCTGGTTGACCTAGAAATTCCCTATAGGATGAGCTTCTTTGAAGATGCTTCCCTGGAAAGCATCTTTTATGCCACACCCATAAAATTGCCACAAATACCTGACATTTAATTAACACATCAAAGAGATGAGAGTGCTAATTGTATTTATCCAGGTGGTGGAGGCGACTGTGAATTCTAATTTGTACATCATCAGCTATTACAAACCATGTGCTCTCAATTTTTCCCTCTTAAAAATATCCCATGAGAAGGCCTGTGTTTTGTGTTGCCTCTTGTGTCTTCTATTGTCCCTTCCTTCTCTAAAAGAAAAAGAATTTTTCCACAAACAGGTAACAGCCTGACTCATATCAGGAAAAAAATAAGCAAGAACAGCATCCACCATCCCGAGTAAAGGACACCCTGGCCCCACAATTCATGACCCAGTTCCCACAGCAGGAGACCATAACCCAGTTCCCACTTCCAGAGTGGAGATGACGAGACAATATCCTCCAATATCCCCTTGCTGAGGTTGGCCCTTGGTTTTTCTGTAAGGCCAGCTTTCAGGAAAGAATGTATTGATCAAGAAAGATCAGCAAGTGGTATGGTAGTTAAGGAAGTAGAACCCACACGGCCAACTTCATGTTTCGAGTCCTGGACCCAGTGGCTTGAAAAACACATTGGGCACATGTGTGTGCATGCCCAAAATCTTGAGAGGAGCATGGAGAAGAGATTGTAGCATGACCTTTCCCTTTGGGGGTGATTTCTCAGTTTTCCTCTCTATCTCTCTCCAGTGAGTTACATATACCATATGGAAAAAAAAGAAAGAAAAATTCATATTCTCCTTACTTGCTGAAGAAAATAACTTTGGGGCCAGCAGGTGCCATGGTGGTTATAGGCGCTGGGCTCCCACATCGTCAACGGTGGTTCGAGGCCTGGACCTGAGGCTTTCTCTCTCTCTCTCTCACTCTGTCCCTCTCTGGTCAAATTAAAATAAATAAATAAAGTTAAATAAAATGATTCTTAAAAAAAAAAAAAAAAG